CTCTCTTCAAGGAGTTGATTTAAAGTTCTCAAGTGCTTACCATCCTCAAAGTGATAGGCAAACAGAGCTGGTTAACCATTGCCTTGAAACTTATTTACGTTGTATGTGCAGTGAGAGACCACATCTTCGGAGCAGTTGGTTGTCGTTGGCTGAATTTTGGTACAATACTAACTTCCACACTGCTATTCAAGTTTCCCCCTTTGAAGCTGTGTATGGGCAAGCACCTCCTATTCACTTACCTTACCTGCCAGGAGAATCAAAGGTCGCAGTGGTTGCAAGAAGTCTTCAAGAAAGGGAAGACATGCTCTTACTTATGAAATTTCATTTACTCAGAGCTCAACATCGAATGAAACAATCAGCGGATGCACATAGATCAGAAAGGAGATTTCAGATTGGTGACTCTGTCTTTGTCAAGTTGCAACCGTATCGTCAAGGCTCTGTGGTCATGCGCTCTAATCAGAAACTAGCACCAAAGTACTATGGAGCTTACAAGATCATTGACTGTTGTGGCACCGTCGCATACAAGCTCCTTCTACCACCAGGTTCTCTTATTCATTCTGTTTTTCATGTGTCTCAACTGAAAGCTGCAGCGGGCAATGTCTTGACCTTAACACAACTCCCTTCTATCATCTCGGACGTGTTTGTCAAGGAACCTGCAGTGATTCTTGATCGCAAAATGGTTAAACGCCAAGGACGAGCTGCTACAATGGTCCTCATCCAATGGACCAATGAATCAGTAGAAGAAGCCACTTGGGAGTATCTCTATGATTTACAAAAGAAGTTTCCTTCCTTTGAACCTTGTGGTCAAGGTTCTTCAAACGGGGGAGCTTTGATGTAGCTATCTTCTAGAAGCTTATACACCGCACGTGTGAAGGAGAAGAGCACGTGAGAATGGATGAGCTGGAGGTTAAGGATCAACTTGAGAGTTAACAGAGACGGAAGACGTTGCTGACGCCGTCAAATACCTTTTAGTATAAGAGCACATGTTTAGCTCACACTTTCTTTATGCAAAGATCATTGTTGTGATTCTTCTAGAACTTTCTGGTATTTTCTTCATCGTTTTGCTGGAGCTTCTCGTTGTGAGACTCTTGCAGGTGAGATGTGTTGCTGCGTTTTTTTGCGAACGTTGTAACAGAGTTATCAATAATACTATTTTGATCCTACTCTGTTCTTACTCTGTTTTTTCGTTATCAATTTTATTCGACAAATATTTTCTCAAAACGAAGAACCGAGGAACAAAACCAACTAGCACAAAACAAATCGAACCAACATGATGCTCAATTCGGTGTTGTACTCGTCCAGATATAAAAATAAATAAGAAATTAGAGAAAAAAATAAAAAAAATTTCTCAACTGTTAAAAAATACTAAAAAGCCTTAACTTTGCATCGAGTAAAATAATGCACTAACTTTTATTGACTTTTCATTTTAATCGTTATTTTGATTGACTTTCCATTTTAATCGCTACCTTTTGTTGATTTTGCCAAATAAATTACGTCTTTAACTTTACTAACAGAACAAATTATTTTCGTTGAGATTCTATATTAAACTACACAAAACAACGTCGTTTAGATTAAATATATGAAACTCAGAAATAATATTTGAACCTCTTATCTTTTAGATAATCCATAAATATATGAGAAATTCCTAAAAATAGCACTAAAACAAGTTTTATGGACAATAATAGCACACACTCCATAAACTTCCAAAAATAGCACTAGTTGACTTATTATGAAGTTTTTGTTCTAAAAATATTATCATTAGTTTCTTTTTTTAATAATACCACAATTTTTATATAAAATCTATTCAACCAAAATAAATTAGAAATCAATTTAAAATATTATATTTGGGTTTTCTATTTTCAATTTAGGGTAGATATTTCAACCATTTAAAAGAAATTTTGATTCATTTTAATATTAGTTTATGGTATTCTATTTGGGTTCCCTAATTCTAATTTAGGGTATATATTTCCACCATTTAAAAGTTATTTTTTATTTTTAATATTAGTTTGTAGTATTATATTTGGGTTCTCTATTTCCAATTTAGGGTATATATTTCTACTATTTAAAAGAAATTTTGATTCAATTTAATATTAGGTTAGTGTTTGCTCTCATTTTTATATCTATCTTATATTTTAACTAAGTTTAATTGATGTTTATAGTGCTATTTGTGGAATTTTAGAAATTTTATGCTAATTTTGGAAGAAAAACTTTTTTTGGTGCTATTTTTGTCAATTGCCCTATATATATTACCCATCAAGCTAAGTTGATTTTTTTCCTTAAACTACAAACATCCATATTTATGGTCTTTAATATATATTCTCCAAATTACAAAATTGGGGCTAAATCATTATGAGTTACTCTCTCATCCTATTTGTTTTAGATTCTCTTTAAAAATAAGACATATTTTGACAAATAAAAATGTTTTTGACATTTTTCTCATTTTTTATTTAGTAATTTAATAAACAACTACGTTTCCTAACTTTATAAGTTGGCAAAACTGGAATGAAGAAGACATTTTTTTTTTGGTAGGAGAGTGGGAGACAATGCCTCCCATAATTTATTGAAATAAAAATAAAAATTACATGCGAATATATCTCGGGCGCGCAGTCCCATTAGCGTCATCAAGAATAATCAAATTGAGAGCCTCTAATCTAGAATGAAACATATGAAAACCTAAAAGTAAAGAGAACGCATAGTTCGCTAACCCATCTGCAAGACGGTTAGCCTCCCTATACACGTGAACAATACAGACTATTCAGTCCCTCGATATGAAGCCATGGCACAGACGTACTAGCAACGACAGGGGATGAGAGTCATTTATCCCTGTCTTTAGAAAACCAACTACAATCTCTGAATCCACTTCCAGCTCAAGACGCGTTATTCCTCGCTCCCAAACTATATACAACCCATAGTACACTCCCCATAACTCTGCTAGCGGAGCTGAACAATTTATTCCTCGAATGAAGAAGACATTAGTATACTTGAACGTTATGATTTTTTTTTTTAATCTTTAGTGAAGCTATTTAATTTATGTATTGAATTTGTGTTATTTTAATTTTTTATTTATTTTAAATATAGTTCAGTTTTCTCATTATATATTTTAAATTTTATTTATATATTTCTATAACGTACTCGTTTTCTATAGTTTTTATAAAAATCGTTTCTGTAGTTCCACACACAGTTGTGTGTATCCGTTTTCTATTTTTTTCATGCAACATATAGAACACGGATCTGAAAATGTTTAATATTCTTTTACATTTTCTGCGCATATACCAAAGCCATAAGAACATGTCCAAAGATGGGTTCTTAGTTGGACTCTTAAGTGTATTTGTGTAAAAAAATAAATGCAAAATTGGGCTTAATACTAAGAGTTGTCTCTTATATAAGAGACCCAAGCCATGCTAAGAGATGGTGACGTGGCATCCTGTGAGTGGACAATGTAGAAAATATTAAACCGAAAATAAATCGATCCAGTGTTTCTCTCTCTCTCTTTTATGCGTTACTCTTTGACTGCGAAACCGGAAGCGATTCGACTCAAATCGGGAACAATCAAAGGAGACTCCGATTATTGTGACCTTCGACTCAAATATTAAACCAAAATTTTTTTTCTTTTTGTCGAGTTTTATCCACTTAAACACTTTGCTATATATTTGTTGTAACCAAATTTTTAAAAAACCAAAACACTTCAAATCTTGTAACTTTGAAATCTCGTAAATATGATGGTCACTAGAACTCGACTTCGTGATCGAGGTATGCATCAACAATTGAAATCTGATTTGGTTGAGCATATATGGACAAATTTTGGCAACAATCAAGTTTAAAACTATTAAGTTTTATGTCATGTATGTTATAAATTGTTTATCATGTATGTTTCAAATTTTATCATTTGCAATAATTATTAAGTTTTCTAGAAATTAAAATTGTTTAAATTAATTTTTTTCCTTTAAGAACTACAACTTAAAAGTAAGAACAGAATTAAGAGACTACCATTGATGTGAGTCTAAGGTTGTCTGGATAACTGGATTTAGTTGACAAAAAAAAAGGTTATCTAGATTGGACTCATTGATGAGCTAAAAATTTCGAAAATAAAACAAACCCAATAATTTCCAAAGCCCATTAACCCATTAACAACCTAAGCATGGGCAAATAAACTGAACCAAATGTACCGAACCGAAATCGAAGCAAAAAAACCGAACTGAACCGAACCGAAAATTTAAAAATAACCGAATGGATACTAAATTCTATAACCGAAATAACCGTAACCGAATCGGTACCGAACTGAAATATTTCGGATAACCGAAATATCCGAAATACATTTATATTTTTAAAATAATTAGTTATTTATAGACCAAATAATTAAAAATAATTGGAAAATATATAAAATAGTAAAAATACTCAAAAATAACCGAAATATATCCAAAAATATCGGAAAATACTCAAAAATATCCGAAAATACTCAAAAATAACCGAAATATCCGAAAATATCCTAAGCAAAATAACCGAATGTATACTAAATTTTAAAACCGAAAAAACCAAAACCAAACCGAAACCGAACTGAAATTTCAAAATATCCGAATGGATACTAAATTTTGAAACCGAAAGAACTGAAACCGAATGGACCCAACCGATAACCGAACGGTTAACCGAAAGCCCAGGTCTAAACAACCTCGTCAAGACGTCAATTCTTATCCCAATAGAATCTTCTGGTAAATACAACAGTAGTTCAAGGAGATTTTCGTCATTTCAAAATTTGTCAAAAAACCACAATATTTAATATCACTATTAAGGGACCACCGTTCCCTTCCCCACCACAACCAAGCATTTTCCTCCATTTTTTATTTTTCCCAATTTATTTTAATAATAATATATCGAAAATTTAATTTAAATCCAAAATCAATAATTATCCTCTTTAATATTTAATTTAAATAATTAATTAATTTTTTTTTATTTCCTTTCTTCTTCTTCTTCAATTTTTTTTTTCTTTCTTCTTCTCCCATGGCTTCCTAAGCAATCTGCTATTTCTCTCTCTCTTCTTCACCTATAGTTTATCTCTTATTCTCTCTTTTTTTTTTGGGTTTCTCTTAATTTTAATTTTCCGAAAACATAAACGACATTGATGATTCTTATAATTTCTTCATCAGATCCTTTAATTCTTCTCAAATTCTGATTCTCTCCGCATCAATGGTGAGGAACAATTCTACTCGATCATCATAGATTTTGAGCTTATTTTTCTTTATTTTGTTTGAATATTTTACTTTCATAAAAGTATTCTGTTCAAATTCTTATAAAACTAATCAATTTTTATCCATAAAAGTATTTACGAAAAAGAAACAAATTTTATAGATTATGTTTTTATTTGTTTTCTTCATGTAAGTTTTTTTTTTTTTTTTTCTGATTTGATTTGTTTTTGTTTATGTTTCTCAATTTTAACTCTGCAAATTCTTTGAATTTTTTTTTTTTCCAGATTCTTAATAACCGATCTAGATATGATTAAATCATCATTATTCAAAACAAAAGATTTTGTTTTTTTTTCTACAGAATTTGATTTGATTAATTTTTTTTTTTTTTTTTTTTTTGCAGATAACTTCGTAGTTGGAGATTCGTTGTGGATGAAGATTATTGATTGGTCTTTTATGTTTTGAACAATGTTGCTAACTTTTCAGATTAATCAGTCTTATGATGAGAAGTTGGTTCTTGATTACAATCTCTATATCATACTACAATCAACAAGTAAACCGTTTATGCAATCTTGTGGCGGTTCTTGTGTTCAAAGAGTAGATAACTATTCTTCAAGGTGGAGGTTATTAGAGGTCAATTGACGGGTTTTTTAATCGTTGTTGTATCGCCCCAATAAACGGAATCATGGAAAGGTTTGTTCTTGTTCTTGTTTGCATATATGTTGGACTTGTGTGGTTTTGAGAAAGTGATGATGGTACTTGTGGTTTTGGTCTATGTAGGTATAAGATTTTGGAAGAGCTTGGTGATGGTACTTGTGGTAGTGTATATAAAGCTGTAAACTTGGAAACATATGAAGTTGTAAGTTGCTGAAAGTTTCTCTCTTTCACTTGTCTAATGTTGTTGCTAATTCTATCTTACCTTATGTTTGCCTCAGGTTGCTGTTAAAAAGATGAAGAGAAAGTTTTATTATTGGGAAGAGTGTGTGAATTTGCGAGAAGTAAAGGTGCGGTGGCTCAGTAGTTTACTTTCTATAATCTCTATGTTTGTGTTCAAGGATGATGATGTAGTTTTACGTTTGCAGGCTCTTCGTAAGCTAAATCATCCTCATATCATAAAGTTGAAGGAGATTGTGAGGGAACATAATGAGCTGTTTTTCATCTTCGAGTGCATGGTAAAGGCGATCTCCGGTTTCTTTTCCTCTGTAGGATATTTTACTCTTATGTTAGAGAATATATTCTCATTGATCTTGGATAATGATTTGACTAGGACCACAATCTGTACCATATAATGAAAGAAAGGGAACGACCTTTTTCTGAAGGAGAAATTAGAAGTTTTATGTCGCAGATGCTGCAAGGGCTCGCACATATGCATAAAAACGGTTATTTCCATCGAGATCTGAAACCCGGTATGTTTTTTTAACTTTTATATTATACTAATTGAATTGTATTTCGCTCGTTGAATGTCTGACAAACAAGTTTTGTTCTGTTTCTGAAGAGAATTTGCTGGTGACCAACAATATCCTGAAAATTGCTGACTTTGGGCTCGCTAGAGAAGTTGCATCTATGCCTCCTTACACTGAATATGTGTCCACACGTTGGTAAGTGATTTCTCTTTGATATCACATTTGCATTCTTGCATGAATGTATGTGGTATCAGGTAAACGATAGACTAAATAACTTATAATTGGCTCTGATTGCAACAGGTATCGAGCTCCAGAAGTTTTGCTACAGTCTTCATCATACACTCCTGCAGTTGGTACGTTTGTGAATTCTTTTTGTGCTGCATCACATTTCAGTATCATGTCAAAAGAGTTTGGCTAATATTTAAAAGAACTGCAGACATGTGGGCAGTGGGGGCGATATTAGCTGAGCTTTACGCTTTATCTCCGTTATTTCCTGGTGAAAGGTGAATTCTTTTCCCTTTCACTTTGACCAAACATAATCTGCGCGTAGTTTTCTTGCGTTGATAATTTTTTAATCGCTGTGTAGTTTGTTGCTACTTAGTGTTCTAAGCTGAAGTGATTCTATCAGTACAATGAATTCTAATACTGCATTTTAGCTTGTATGGTCAAATCTGTGTATACACTTAAAAATAGACCATTCAGTGAAATCTGATATAATGATTTCCTTATGAGCAGTGAGATAGATCAATTATACAAGATCTGCTGTGTTCTTGGCAAGCCGGATTGGACCACCCTCCCTGAAGCGAAAAGCATATCTCGAATAATGAGTATTAGTCACACAGAAGTAAGAGTTCTTAATGAAAAGATAAGTTGCTTATTATAACTAATTGTACGTAAATATTGACGTTAGTCTTCGAATTTCTTGTGATAGTTTCCGCAGACACGAATTGCTGATCTACTCCCCAATGCTGCTCCTGAAGCTATTGATTTGATCAATGTAAGTTCTTGTGTTCACTCTTCCCGTGGATATTTCTTACCATTCTTCAGAAAGTTATCATCTTTCAATATCTTGACTTCGTATATTATTTGTATCTCTTTTGAATCCACAGCGACTTTGCTCATGGGATCCATTGAAACGACCAACTGCTGATCAGGCACTAAATCATCCGTTTTTCAGTGTAATTTGAAAATTGCTTTGCTTCTTTTGAATCAATCTCACACACTCTCTATATGTATAATCAAAAATGTATTGATCTATTCTGAACAGATGGCTACACAGGCTTCATATCCTCTCCATGACCTTGAGCTGAGGCTTAATAACATGGGTGAGGCTTTTTTCTTCATTTCTGCTTCATGTGTGCTGCTCATGACCGCAAAAGACCGCAAGAGTAATTCCAATTAAATTTGTCGTATTCTGCAGCGGCAATGCCTAATCTCGAGCTAAATCTCTGGGACTTTAATACTGAACCTGAGGAATGTTTTCTTGGCTTGACACTGGCTGTAAAACCAAGTGCTCCTAAACTAGGTAAGTAACTAAGTATCATTCCTTCGTGTAGAGTGGGTCACATTATTTGACACTAGTTGACATTGCAAGGATTCAAATCTTTGTTTTGCAGAAATGGTGCCGAATGTATCTCACGACATGAGCGAGGTAAGCTTAGACGCAATGAACGTCACTTAAAATAGGATTGTTAAACCTCGTATGAGTTGTAATGAATCCAACTGAATTTGTGGTTTACAAATGCAGAATTTTCTCTTTTTCCCCGGGGTAAATAATGATCGGGAACCATCAGGTGATGAGACTTAAACATATGATAAACTGCAGATTCGGTTATATTCTCTGGGATTAGTTGTTGAATATCTCTGTTTGAACATTTACAGTTTTCTGGTCTCTGCTCTCTCCTGATGAAAACGGCCTCCACACTCCAGTTGAATCATCTCCTTTATCTCTGTCCTTCAGGTGAGGTCTAGTCGCCTCTATCGATCCATTGAAGTTATGTGTTGACAAAATGCCTAATCAGTTTTTTTTCTGTTGTTGTTTTGAGCAGTCCAATGCAGCATCACACAACACTGGGACCTCCGCAGTCGACAGGGTTCACAATGACATCATCAGTGCAACCGAATATGTTGGACCGCCCGTGGATGGCTGTGTCTGCGCCATTTCAACAAAGTCATTACCTCTGATCTAATAAACCCATACCCTAGTAAAAAAGTAAATAACACAGAGGTTTCGAAAGATTTGAGTTAAACAAGATAGGAAAAACAAAACAGAGGAAAGTTTTTAGATTTTTCATTTTTGTCACCTATTATTGGTTCTTAACTTGTAAAAATTGAGGTTTGGGTGATGCACTTTCTTCTTAGAGCTTGAGCTAAATCATATCAAACAAATAATCTCCCAATTCTTGTCTCTGTATAATATATGAAAAAGAGAGAAATTTGCTTGTTTGTCTTTTTTTTTTTTTTTTTTTTTTCTGATATCAGAAGAGTTTGTTAACATTATTGTTGGAAGTTCCAACTTGGAACCCATAATAACCAAACAAATCATTCAAATCTTGATGTGTCCTTATCATAAATAATTATGTAATCATTTTCGTTTCATTAATGTTGGTTCCATCATATTTTAATATAAAGTCTTTAACTTGTGAATCTGTCTTATCTTGACGAAAATTTAAGAATATATTTATGTTAATTACGCTACTTATTTTAATCTCTCTTTATTTGATGTGAAATTTATTCCATAATTAGTAAAGAGAAGAAGTCCAACAAACAAACCAAAGATATTGAAAAAAAGAAAAAAAAAAGTCACTTTGGAGATAGAACAGAATATAAAAAGATTCTTTAAATAAACTTTTATCAAAACAAGATTCTGAATTTTTTACTAAGTCTTGAGAAATCTCTAAAACGAAGAACAAATAAGAAACCTTGTAGCCATGGGTGGTGATACTTTCAAAGATGGTAAATTTCTCTATATTTTTCTTGTTTCTTGAACTACTGTGTTTGCATGTTTGATTTAAAGAAAAATAAATGATTTTTAAGATTTTGTAGATGAAGAATCTTCAAGATCATCATCATCTCCTTGTTCTTGTTGTTTCAGGTATATTATTATTTAATCTCTATCACTAACTTTTGTTGAGTATGATCATAATCATAATCAAGAAAGTGATTATGGGTTGTTTTTTTTATTTGGTAGTGATGATTTAGGGTTTAAGGATGATGTTTCTGAAGATAATTTCGCAAATTTCTCTAATCATGTTACTGATTTGAGAAGAAGAGAAAAATCTTACCAAGAGATTCTTCAAAGTTATGATGTTTTGCTCAGAAGCAGCAAACGGAAACTTAGACAAGCCAGAAATGAAATTTTGAGGTTTTTTTTTTTTTTTTTTTATTATTCATTTTAATTAGGGAAAATCTGTGTTAATTAGTTCTACTTAGTGATCATACAAATTGAATTATGATATTATGGTTTTGCTTATTATTGTTTAATAATTCATAGATATACTCCTGGATCATGGTCTGATGTGAAACTGAGCGATTACGATGTTCCAAAGACGACATCGATCATGTTAGTTGGTCCGAAAGGAGCCGGGAAGAGTAGCCTTGTTAATAAGATTTCAAGAGTGATTGAAGACGATGAGTTTTTCCCAGCTAGAGCTCAGGAATCATGTATAGTATATTTTCCTCTAATCTCTAATATAGTTTATATTTTAAAGGTGAGATTAATGATGTTTTGTGCTCTCGAATCGCAGTTGGTACGCAGTCTAAAGGAGGAACATTCTTTGTTCAGGAATATATGATCCCAAGAGGAGGTTCTGCTTCCTTTTGCCTATATGACACTCGTGGCTTGAGCCATATCTCATCATCTGATAACACTCGTATGATTGAGCAGTGGATGACAAAAGGCGTGCATCACGGCGAACCTGTCATCTGGTTTCGATTCTACCTTGATTATTCTTCTTTAATCAGTTTTGTTTTGGTTACCTTACTGAGTTTTTATTTGCTCAGGACATCTGATAGTTCGGATTTAAAGGATAGACTCATCCGAGATGGTGGTACGGGTTATGAGAGAAGGAAAGTGAATTCCGTTATCTTTGTTATTAATGCGGTCGAAATCTTGAAATCGATGGAATGTGAAACAAGCTATGCTCATATGATATCCACGGCCTTTAACTGTCCGTTACTATCATTTAAAGGTTGGTTAGTCCATTTGAATAAACTTTAAGTTTCAAGATAGCCTTTTGTTCTTTAATCTCAAATAACTTGAATATGTTTTTTCAGATGACAAGCCAGCAGTAGTTATGACTCATGGAGATATGCTTTCACTAGAGGACCGTGCTCGAGTTCGAGTTTTCCTTGGAGAACTTCTTGGTATCCCACCTGCCAAACAGATATTCGACATTCCAGGTGACAAAACCATTTCAAGCACATTTTTCAGACGGTTATACTTCTTCTTGGTAATTGAAATGAATTGCATATGTTTTTATAGAAAGCCGGGACATAGCCACCGCGCTAACAATCTGCAACTTGCTATGCTATAGTCTTGACCATGCTGATAAGAATTTTGTGTTTCTTCCCAAAAGGAACTTCACCATATCAAAGGTTTCTGCTTAATCTTTAGTTCTTACCTCTCGATTTCAAAACATGATCGATCTGATAGATGGTTAGATCTCTTTCTTTTTCGGTTTGTTTTGGACCGGTTTAATTGATCCGGATTGAACAGCTATAGGAGACCATATATCGCAGTGAACCGGTTTAAATTTGGTGAATTAATTACTATTCTTATTTTTATTTTATTTTTAATTTGTGGGGGTGATATAATTAATTTCAGGTTGGAGGCCTCACAAAATGGATCATCTTATTAGACATAATATCAATTGCTCTGATTTTATTCATGGCATTGGCTTCAATCTGGGTTGTTACTCATAATCCCGTAAGCGGCCAAAAATTAGCGCATGAGGCTGAGTACAAACTGCTTACATTCCCAAGTCCACGGTTAAACAACCTCACACATGAGGCCCAGCCGATACGTCGCATAGTGCCTCAGCAGGTCATGGGAGGTCCAATCCTTGCATGCGTTCAACATCCTAAGTCTGAGTCTGTGCCTGAAAGTGACCATAGCATTGATTTGCAAATAGCGCAACGCTTATGGTTCGACGAAGGTAAAGTGACCGAGGTCGAACCAAGCTTTGATTGGCGAACAACTCGACGCTTGTGGTACGTTGAATGAAAATGTATGTGAGCGTTAACATCTTTATATGCTAAAATAAAGTTTGATAGTGTGGAAACTAGTAAATATAAAATAAGATGTTATTAAAAATTTGGACCGCATAAACTGTAAGGTCATGGATTTGTTTGGTTTTACCGGTTCAATGGGATTCACTTTATATATCGTATGAATAACATCATGAGGATTGTTATCTTTATTCTTACTCTTGCAATTTGTGTGGACATTCACAGTTAAATAATTTTATCAAATACAATAAAGAGTTAAAAGTAACCAACATGAATCTCAAAGAACACGTTATGCCTTAAACAAGGTTTGTCCAATCTCATTCTCATTAGAATCTAACCAGCTGGTTATATTTGACCGTACCAACGACATGAAACCAATAATGAACCGTACCAACGAACTGAAACCTAGCTTTTGTGATAGTGAAGAAGATTGGACCAGATCGGAGACGTAGCTTGGAGGCAAAGAAAGGTCGTGATTCTCGAAGGCTAGAGGCTCTGTTCCACAACTATCCGTCCAAAACCTGCAACTTCTCCCATTCCATACTACTAACTTTTTATCCAAGGGTTTGCAATTTAATAAGGTCAGCTTTTTTGTACAAATGTGGTAGACTCAATGTTTATTGATCGAGAAGAAGGAAGTTTAGGTGATACTTAAAGCTAGCCCCGAGATTGTTTCAAAATCCTTTGTAACACCCCGAAGAGCATTAGATACAGAAACCGCAGATCCTTGTAGGGAAATGAGTAAATCATCTTCAAAGACATAGGTGTGTTAGTAAACTGCAAGAAACAAATAGAGGCTAAATGCTGGAGTACAGAGAGTCAAGCCATCTAAGGTAAGATTCTGGCACTTGTAGACCTCTTAGACAGAAGAATATGAATTCCCACTTACTGTATCAAATGCTTTAGCAATGTCAACTTTATTAGTTATTCTCTTAGGCCCTTTATCTCTATGATCTCTGCTGCTAGCATAGAGTTTTCCACTAACAGTAGGGGTTTTAAATCTTGAGAAAAATGACCTTATAAAGAGTGTTACACAAGGAAAAAATTGACACTCGTGGTTTCTTTGGCACTAAGGTAAGAATGGTGGAGTTTATAGCAGTCAGCATAAAGGATGTTCTCAAGAAGTGGAGAACCCTAAGATTCCCCAAGAAGCTGTATAGAATCCTGAGGTAAGTTCATCTGGACCAGGTGAAGGATCTGATCGAGTTTTGAGAATTCCTTGACTCTGCTATGATATCCTTCCGCTAGCCAATTTATCCTTGATCTTTGACTCAAATAGGCCTCTTCTATGTGTTTCAGGTACTCCAAGTGGTCATGAGTACTTTCTTGCTTGTGGAAGGGGCATTTAGAGCTTGTATCTGCACAACATTTAACAACTCGTTAGTCACTCTCACTCTGCTTTGTATATCAGAAAATTGTCTTTGTATTTTACTAATGTTAAGGCATATATAGAATCTCATCTAATCTCATTGTAACTAAAACTTAATGTATGAATTATGAGCCCAAGCCCATGTAATTCAATCTCTCTCATACATGGTGGTTAGGATGGTGTTAGTGGATGCTACATTTTTAGTATAAAACAAGTTCTTTTGTAGCTAAATGCAGAGAAAGAGAGAGCAGAGAGGAACAAAAGGAGAGCATTGGATTTGAAGATTTGTTTTGTGCAAAAGACTGAAAGGTTACCTTCTCACCCTTCTCTTCTTGATAGTTGATATTCATCTTCTTCTTTGTTTTCCTCTTCCATTTATGTTTTCATGTTTTAGTTCTTTCTTTTCCCCTGTTTTTCTTCTTCCATGATTTCTTTACCCTCAATATCTATCTCTGTTTTGCTTTTCAACTTGTGTTTTTCTCTGTTTTGCTTTTCAACTTGTGTTTTTATTCTGTTGTGCTTTCCTATGTTATCATCTTGCATTTTTCGAGTTTAACTCTTTAACCGGTCTCTGTTTTTTTATATCCCCTAAAGCTTTGATTTTGACTCAATGGGTTTGGTTTCTAATGAGTTTGTGTACAATGGGTATGTTTAGTTTTGTCTCAGTTGATTCCACTTGTGCTATCCTCTGTTTTCGTCTTCTAATTCTTTTCTTTTCTTTGTTTCAGCATGTGGATCGGATTCACCCATTGGATTTTCCGTATTCCTAAGGATGAATACGAGGGGATGTTTAAGAAGATGGATGAGCTCTTTTTCCGTGTCGTCTCAGTTCTGACTCTGCCTCCAAGGAACTTTTCCAAGCCATGGGATTCGCTGATGAATTCGTCCCATCTGCTTACTTGGCCGTTGCTCATATCATCTTAACCTTTCTGGGCAATGACTTCAGGTATTTCGATGAAGTAGCCATAGTCTCTGGATTTGCCATGTGTATATGGCTGGTATTGGAGCTTTATTCCTACCAGACTGTAGTTCGCTTAGCCGTGTTCACATATTGGTTTTCAATAGTACTGGCCTCTCTGATGATCTCTGCCGCAATTGCCTACTACGTATACAGTTTCCGGGCTCACATAGCTCGTTTGGTTGGCGGCTCTTTGTTGGATTACATATCTGGATGGGTTGTATCTTCGCGGAGATATATTAGCCGCACTCTTCCACGTCTGTTCACTAATTTCATGCAGTTTCTTCGATTCGTCTGGGCTGAAGTATCGGCATTCTGGGTTCAGTTTTGGGAGAAGATTATTATTGCATTTGCTGTGTTGACAGCCGTTGCATTAGTATTAATTTACGTTTACATCTAAGTTTCTCATGCTACGAGTAAAAAAAGAACTGTCCTTAAAAAAAAAAGAACTATGTCCTTCTTATTATCCATTAATATAATAAGTTTTATTATGTTCCTAGTGCTACATGGAAAACTACTTAAATCAGTAGAGCCACAAATTTTACAATGTAGGTTTTTGTGCAAAAAAACTCTCCAATTTGTCTATTTTTGCAATTTTACCATTCATTTCCGGAAAATGCAGATTAATTCTACGAAATCTAAAATAATACGCAATATAACTCTTATATGTATCTTGTAAACGGCTTTCGGTCAAATACATTAGTTTTTTTTTAAATATTAAAAAGTAGAGTTCAATTCTTTATAGCGAGGACTTCGAATTGACATATTATTTGTTAAAATTTTACGAACTTGAAAAAATTTGACGGTAAAGAATATGAGTTACATTACTTATTATTTTAGACTTCGTATGATTAATATGCATTTTTCGGAGATGAAGAGTAAAGTTGCAAAATGGACGAGTTGGAGACACAAAACCCATAAATGTAACACAAAACAGAAAAGTAGAAAAGATACAAATGTTTGTAAAACCCAAAATTTTAACATTCTTTTTCTAAATTTAACAATTAAGAGAGAGAGAAAATTATTAAAATTACACGGTCCTAAATGGTTTTGTGTCTAAGGAATCTTGAAAATTTGAACACTCGTTATCTAAATGTAACAATTAAGAGAGAAAGAGAAAAATCTATATATATAATGGGAGAGTTTCTCTCCATCTAAGGTGTCCACATCAGCATCCATGTCATCATAATTTTTTTTTTTGTGGGTTCCACATATTTATTTATTAAAACAAAAACATTAAAACTAAACTAATTCACACATTAAATAAAAACAATAATTGACAAAAATTAAATGAAATATTATGAAAAACGAAAAAAATAAGTATACAACTTAAAATATGAAATTTTTGAATAGAGATTAAATATATATAAATTAGATCATTATATTTTAACATATAATGAGTAAATATTTTAAAATAGTTAGAGATACGAAAAAGAAACTTATCATATATTTTAATGGTACAAAATTTATTTTTTAAGAGTTGCCATTATTTAGTAGAGAAAAGGAAATAAGAGTTAAAAATACCAAATTTAAAGATTTTTACTTAAAATAGAAATCAATTCATTTCTGAAAAATAGACATTTAAAATTTGAGTACCGATTAAAAAATAAGAAGAATTTAGAACATATTATTATTTATAATTATAATATAATATAAGTAGTCAAATTAATAAATTTTCTATATTATAAATGTTTTCTAAATAAAAAAGTGAATACCTAAAGAAGAAAAACTAAATATTAATCAGTGTTTTTAGGAAATTCACATCGATTGAACAATCTAAGGGTGATTTGAAATAAAACAAAAACTATCCTAAACATCACAAATAAAAATAAAATAATCTTATCGAATAATAAAACTGTGTAATAATAATATTTGAGAATGTTATTTGGAAATCTATATATAGTAATGGTAGATTGAAGAGTTTTTCACTAGAAATAAAAATGATTTTGTTTTGTTTTTCAAAATAAATATATTTTAAAATTAGAATAATTTTTATGAGTTCGTAAGTGTCACATTTTATAAAAATAAACATTAAAAATACTATCTAAAATCATAATATATGTTAAATTATATATGTAGAAAGAGATTTTTGTATTTTTCAAATGGTCAAGATAAAGTGCAAAATTTCACGTTGAATTTCTATGTTTGTTAATAGGAATGAGTCCATATATGAGATTTGTTTTCTATAAAACAATTTTAGATGCACAAAACATGGTAAAAAACACATTATAACAAACATCTCCTCGGATTTCTTTTCTGATGTTCACTTTAATAAAAAGATCATGAAACTTATTAAAAATTTGAGTATTGAATGATATGAAGGAGAAAATAGAAACGATCTAAGGAGAAAAGAAAATAGATGTCGGAAGACGACGAGTGAATCATAAAAGAAAACGAGAAAAATTGTAGTAAAAAATGTGAGAAACTTTTTACTACTTTGGAAAGATAATGCACATGAATTAAAGTAAAATCTTTTAAAATTCAATTGATTATATTTATACTCAAAGAATAAAGTTTAAATTAAAATCCCGCGCAACGTGCGGGTACACCATCTAGTTATTAAAATTACACGGTCACAAATGGTTTTGTGTCTAAGGAATCTTGAAAATTAGAGACTCACCATCAATAAATCATTAGACAACTCAGAGAATGTGCCTTTAGTCAAGTGGTTAAGTCCATTTGACTCCGCCTTCCCCACTGGAGTTCGACTCCACTAAAAGTGTGATTGGCAAAATGGTGAAGAAATGAGTAGCTGAAAGCAGCTGAAGCGGGAGCGAAGAGCGGAGAGCGGGAGCTGAGAGCGGAGAATGATAGCATAGAGTGGTAAAT